TTTATTTCAGGGAGGCAGGGAGAGGGAGAGAGAGATAGAAACATCAATGATGACAGAGAATCATTGATTGGCTGCCTCCTGCACACCCCTTACTGGGGATCCAGCCTGCAACCTGGGAATGTGTCATGACCGGGAATAGAACCAGGACCTTCTAGTTCATAGGTTGACCACGGAGCCACACTGGCCAGGCTGGAGCTTATATCTTTCAGTTATAAGTGGGGAATCAGGAAGGAGTAGAGTGTTGCAATGATGGTAGCAGATAAGTTTTCAAGGAAGAAAGATGTAAAAATCTGTGTGGTTCTGAAAGCTCTGCAGAAATATCCCAATTACTTGAACTGATCCCAACTCCCATATTCTATAGAATTGACCACCATTTTGATGACTTCTTTTCCAAAAATGTACAGCTCAGTCTTGGTGGAGTTTTCACATGTAAGATTCATTTTAAGAAATTTACTTTTGTTGATGAAGTCTATTCTATAAAATCCTATATAATAAAAGGGTAATATGCAAATAGACCGAATGGCAGAACTGAACAACCAATCAAAGTGTAATATGCTAATGATATGCTAAGGCTGTTCAACCGCTCATTATGACGTGCACTGACCACCAGGGGGCAGATGCTCCAACCTGTAGGTTAGCTTGCTACTGGGGTCTGGATGATTGGGACTGAGCAAGATGGGCTGGACATGCCCTGTAGCCCTCCTGCAGTCCCACCAGTGAGGTCCGTCAGCCTGGCCTGTGCCCTCTAGCAATCCAGGACCCCTTGGGGGATGTCAGAGAGCTGGTTTCAGCCGGATCCCGCAGACCACTCCCCTTGGGAAGGTGCCAGATGCAGGGTTCATGGCTGGTGAGCGCTGCTGTGGCAGTGCGAGTCTCTCCCGATTGGGACTGATTGGGCTCGAGCCTGTGGCAGGCACATTGGGGCTGGGATGAGTAGGAGCGGCAGGTAGGAGCTGCAGGTTGGACTGCGGGTTTCAGCCCTATCCTTGCAGGCCACCCAAAGGGACCCCACCCATGCACGAATTTGTGCACCAAACCGTAAGAATCAAATATGAAAGGGCTTTAAAATGGATAAAGTTCCACTCATATCGAAAGGATCATTATTGACTTAATTCCTTGAAAGAAATTGACAATGAGAACTTTCTCACTCACTGAGTGTTTTGGGGGGGTAATTCCAACACCACCCAGTGGGAATTTACACCTGGCCTGGCTAGCTGGTAAACCTTGTCCCAGAAATGTTTTCACTGTTCTGTAAATAATCCAAATATGGCCTTAGTGCAGTGGTTCTCAACCTGTGGGTCGCAAAAAAAAGAAAATACATCCTGCATATCAGATATTTACATTACTATTCATAACAGTAGCAAAATTACAGTTATGAAGTAGCAACAAAAATAATTTTGTGGTTGGGGGTCACCACAACATGAGGAACTGTATTAAAGGGTCGCGGCATTAGGAAGGTTGAGAACCACTGCTCTAGTAAATAATAAATAACAATAAAAACAGAAGCATTTAACTCTGCAGAGAAGGAACTTTGGGTGATTCAATCCTGCAAAGCAGCTTAGATCAAATAAATGCCAGAAATTTTTTTAAATTCTCAAATTCTCCAAAATATAAATTCTCAAAGTCCTCATGGATGAATGTGAAGGAAGCCAAAACCCTGTTGCTAGTTAGTCAGCCCTCCACTTCCCAGCCCAAGGCCAGCCCAGCCTTGCCCTTACCCGGCAGCCACGTTATTGCTGTTCCAGTATGGATGCACCACGATCTTCTGCACATTCACGTACTGCTCAGTACCATCGTTCTGACTCAGGTTGTGGTCTCCAACCACCACACGGAACGTCATTTGGCTGGAGCGACAGAAGGAAGCCATGAGTGATCCAGGATGCCCAAGCCTTCTCTTTCCCCCTTAGGGAAAAGTTGGGAAACCAGCTTATATCTTATCTTTAGGACAGGAACTCATCTCATCTGGTCCAGCTGAGGAAGGATGAAAAATCCTGGACAATGAGGAAGTAACACGCTCCCTCATTTCCTAATTAATTAACGTGGGAGGACAAAAACTACCATCAACTTCATTTTCCCAGTTTATTAAACTAAACATCAGATGGTGAACATAAATGAAATAATGGCTTTTTAGCTCCCAGAGGAATTTTGAGGAAAGTATAAACTTCTAGACTAATAATTCTTAAAGCATAGTCCCTGGAACAGCAGCATCCGCATAACCTGGAAATTTGCTACAAATGCGGACTATCAGGCCTCACCTTGGACCTACCAAATCAGAAAATGCTAGATGGAGTCCAGTAACCTGTGCCTGCCAGGTGATTCTGATACATGCTCAACTGAGAACCAACCATTGTGCCATAAGAAAAAATTGTTACCAGCCAGCCATAAAGATAAATTTTTTAAAAAGGGACATCTGGGGGTTGGCAATGGGGGTGATAAGGACACATATGTAATACCTTAATTAAAAAAGGTACATCTGTAATATTTTCAACAATAAAGATTAATTTAAAAATATTGTTACCAGCCAGGCATTGACTAGGCACTCAAATATTTTACCTTCTTAACCCTCACAATAACTCTACAAAGTAGGTTTTATTACCTCACTTTAGAGAGAAGAGAAAGAAGACTTAGAAAAGTAAGTCATCTAAGGTCATATAGCTGGAAGAAGGTGGAATGAGATTTGAACCTGAGCTTGCCTAATGCCAAAATTTGTACTTTTCATTATATGGTACTGCCTTCCCACAGGCCTCCAAACAGACCCTTAAAGTCTTGCCCTGGTGGTCAAAGATATATATTTCTCCAGAAGGGCCAGATTCCCCCCCCCCCCCCCCCCCGCGGCCGACACGCGCGTCCCCCCCCCCCCCCCCCCCGGGGCTCAGTAAAGCTGGTCTTTGTTTTTCTCACCTGTCCACACAGTGAGCAGCTGTCATCACCCAGTTCCGTCTGACGAGGGTCCCTCCACAGGTGTGATACCAGTTACCTCTGGACCAGTACTGGAGGGAAATCTAGACAAGGAGGAAATAAAGGAAGAGTAAGTGGTGTCTCTTAAAAGCCTTTGCCCCAAATTACCTTACCCCTGAAATTCTTGCCATCCCTCAAAACATTCTCCAACTTTCTCGGCTAGAGATGGCAAATAGATTTCATTTGATCTGTCAATTGCTATTGATTGATTGCTACTGTCTACCTGGTGCTTAAAAAAGGAAATCCTGCCATGTGTGAAAACAGAGATGAACCTCCATATGATGATGGTAAGTGAAATTTGGCGATGTTTGCTGTGTACAAGGATGGGTGTGGAGAGGTAAAGGCATACACACAGAGTGTATTTGCCCCCCTCCCCAGCTCTAGGTTGTTGCAAAGGGCCAAGAACTCATTTCCTTCTACCTCCATTTCCTCTTGGGAAGGAAATGTAGCTATGGATTTGCTCCATCACCTAAGACCCACAAGCTTAGGTCTCAGAGCCTCCCCTCCAATGTTTTCAAGATATACCCTGCCCCCCTACTTCAGGGAATATTTAGGAATACCATTGGAATGTCCATTTTTATCAGTTCATGTCTTCTTCAGCACCTCATATCACACAATAACTTCCAAAAATTGGGGCTCAAACTTTTAAAATTATATATATA